AAGGAAGAGGAGGAGGAGCCAGCGTCGAAGGGAGGAACATCTCAGCGTGCGGGCGCTCTGGATCTAAGAGCTGAAACCTGCACCACTACACCATTACACCATTTTGGTAAATTCGAGATGGCAGAGGTGCGAGTCATCGCGCCCTTCGACGGCGCCGTGAGACCGCCGAGAAATCCACGGGCGCGAAGAAACGGCCCACACGAGACTCGCCGACCAGCAGATCAGCCCACACACCCCGCAAGTACGGGACGCCAGCAGTCATGCCACATGCGAGCGTGGCAGCAGGCTCGGAGACAGTCGGCCGCATCACAAGGATGCGCGATAAGGAGGCAATGCGCGATAAGGAGGCAAGGGCTTTGGACGCCCCTGTCGAAATTCTTTTTGGAGCGGGGCGCGGCTAGCGAAAGTGGCCAAAGATGGACCGAGGAGGCAAGTGTGCAAGGGGTACCCTTGGGAAGGGTGTCCATCCTTACCATTCGGTGGGGCATGTGCTCCTACAGGCGGATGTTGGACGAACAATAAGGCAAGAGCCGAAAAGGACTCGACCATAGACAAAGATAGTCCACAAATCGTCCCCAGGCTATTCTGTGGCTACTTTCGGGGGGGAGGGGGAGGTTCGAACTCCCTCCCCCTCCGTCACGGGAGGGGGGGGGGGTTCGAACCCCCTCCCCCCTCCATCCAGGGAGGGGGTGGGCCCGGGGGGGGGGTCCGGTTCCAGACCCCCCCGCCCCCTCCAAGCGACCACAGAGCGCGCTCCTTCCCACTTTTGAACCTTCCTCCTGTGGAGGGCCGGGCCCGACTTGCCCTCACCGTGCGGCCTGACTGTCTGCCAGCGCCCGCGCGGCGGCCTGCCCGCCGGCGCGCGAGGCGAAGAGGGGGGCACTGCGCCGAGGGGCCCAACGAGGGGCACGCGCGTTCCGCTACTCGCAAAGCCACCACTCGCAAATGGCCTGGATCCGCCGTGGGGGTTTACGGTAGATCGCATCGAGGCGAACGTGGGCACTTTTCGGGTCGGCACTCTGCGAGTAGTGGAACGCGCTCGGCGAAACGAGGGGCCCCACGCGCTCCGCGGCCCGCAGGTTGTGCGAGCAGGCGCCGCCGGCGGTGAGCCGGGGGTCGGCGTCAGCAGCAGCACGAAGGCCAACGTCGCCGATGTTCACTTTTTTTTTCAAGGCTTTTGGCTTTCTCGCCTTTTCGGGCTTCCGACGCTCGAAGACGGCCCGGGAGGCCCCCCAGACCACCCCAAGACGGCACGAGAGGCCCCCGAAGAAGGCTCCAAGACGGCCCAAGGGCCCAAACGAGGGGCCCGACGCGCTCAGCGGCCCGCAGTGGTGCGAGCAGGCGCCGCCGGCGGTGAGTCGGGGGTCTGCGTCAGCAGCAGCACGCAGGTCGCGTTACGTTGGGCGTGCCCCTCTACAGGAGGAGTGCTCAAACATAGTCAAAAAATAATATGGGGACGACTTTTCGACTGTGTTTGACTATTTTGGGATATTTGTTTGACTATTTTTTTTGGCTCGTCCAAGATCTGCCTGTAGGAGGACATGCCCGACCAAAAAATCGCGCACGGCGGCGCCCATGGGGAGCAAGATGCGCGTCGCCCGCCCAGCGCGTGGAGGAGGATGGGCTGGTGAGCGATACTACTGCCAAGCCATCCACGAGCAGGAGGTCAGAGGCACGGGGGCGCGACAGTCGAAGGCGGAGCGCAGATGCCGCATCTCGCCTTCTCGCAACTCGCGCGATGCCACGGGCGAGCTGCTGTCGGGTGTGAGGCGCGCTCGGCGAAGCAAAGGCCGGGCGATCGCGAGTCGGACGAGCAGATTCGCGCCACAAGCCCTTGTAGCAGCCCAAACCCAATGCGGGCGACACCGCCTCGGGGTCGACGAAGGGGAGATGCGGGAAGGGGCCCTGGGACACACAGCGGCGGCCCCGGCCGACACGGCGGGCCCTGCAAGAGGGAATGGCGCGCCGCTCCGCCCCGCGGGGCGGGCGGCTCGGAAGAGTCGCTGACTGACGCCTCGGGACCTTGAGACGTGGTCACCTACGGTGGTGGCATTGGGTAAGGAAGCCTTCGACGAGGAATCCAGGGTCTGGACGCCAGTGGAACGCCAATCGTGGATGGGCCCTGGATCTCACCGCCGCCCTCGTCAGAGAAGGAACCGCCCCAGGGCCTAAGGCCTCCTGGGCCCACTCCTCAGCGAACGCCCCCACCGTGGTAGCGCGTGGCGCCGGGGCGCGGCGGGGCCAGACCCGGCGGAGCGAGAAGCGCTGCCCACAAGCTCCCGGCCGCAGGCCTCGAGTCGGGCAGGTCCTCCCACAGGGGGATTCTGGAGGACAAGAATTGAAAAATACCCCCCCAGAGAAAAAAACTCCCCACTCGCCGCAAGAGTACGAGAAAGATCGCCCCCGCACACGATTCTTCTGGACTGTTCTTGAACACCCCTGCTGCAGAGGGACACGCACGGCTTACACGCAGGCCTCGAGCGCCTCGGCAGACGGCGGCGACCCGCCGACCTCGCGGGAGGCCCGCAGGGCGGGCGACACCTCGGGCACGCCGCGGCCGCAGGGAGGTCGCCAGGCGCCTGCGCGGCCGTGCACCCTCCGGCGCGCCAGCTCCTCCTCGCCGTCCCCGCTCGGGCGCCCGCTCCCTCGGGCGCTGCCTCTGCTCCGTGCGCGCGTGCTGCTCCGCGCGAGGGCCTGGCGCTGCTCCTCGAGGCTTCTTGCCGAGAGAGGGCTCGCACCGCCCGAGCGATGCCGCGCCTCCTCGCCCTCCGCTCGGGCGCCCGCTCCTTCGGGCGCTGCCTCTGCTCCGTGCGCGCGCGCTGCTCCGCGCGAGGGCCCGGCACTGCTCCTCGGGGCCTCGTGCCGTGAGAGGGCTCGCACCGCCCGAGCGCTGCCGCGCCGCAGGGGGAGCCTCGCGCCCCCACCTCCGCGCGCCACGGCACGGCGCCGCGCGTTCCCCCGGGTTCCCGTCCTCCTCGGGTCCTCCTCCTCCTCCTCCTCGGAGGAGGAGGAGGAGGGGGAGGAGGAGGAGGAGGAGGAGGAGGGGGAGGAGGAGGAGGAGGGGGGGGATGATGAGGAGGAGGAGGCGGCGGCCCGTGCTCGGGGGGGGGGCAGAGATGTCCCCTCCTTTTCTCGCAGCACGCCCTGCAGCGGAAGCCGCCAGCGGCACTCCGCGGGCGCACGGCACCGCATTCCGCCGAGTGCCCCCCCCGCGGGGAAGCCAATCGACGTCCAAAAACAACCGGATGTGTCAGGATGCATCTGGCGAAACGCGCGTCGACTAGCGAAACCGACCGGGGACTGAGCCAAAGCACTCGAATGCCCAATGTCGAATGAACCCGCGCAGATTTCCTCAGTCGCCGCGTCTGGGGGACGTTCTGTCAACGCCCGACGTCCAACAGCGGTCGATGCACAAAAGCGTGCCGCTGGCACGTTGGCAGGGTACGGGTTCAGTGGAGTCGAGCTCGAGCATGCGATCCAATGTTGCCGGTCAGCGCGGCGCAGACGCCACATGTTTCCGTTAGGCAGCGGCCGGCGCCCGAAGGAAAAGCTTGTCATGCGCGGAGAAGTTGGAGGTCGCCTATCGCAAACATCGCGTTCCTGTCTGGCAGATTGCTCGCCTCCAAGACGTCGGCGTCCATCGTGGAGCACAACAGCAGGACCTGTGCCGCGGTAAGCTTGTGGTTGTGCGCGTTGTAGTGGTAGAACCTGGCACTGGTCGGGCAACGCAGTACAAGGTTAAGAGCACGCTTTGGAACCAGCTTATCAACATCAAGTCGGGCATGTCCCTCAACAGGGGGAACATTCAAAAACAGTCCACAAATAATCCGAGGACGATTCTTGACTAGTTTTGAACATGTGTTGGGTATGCTTGAATTTTTCGTTCGAAATCCGCCTGTAGGGGGACATGCCTTGCATGCTCATTCTGGGGACCTTCCTGGAGCCACTCGCTCCACTCGTGCGTCGAAGCTGCGTCGAACCTGAGTCGAACCTGAGTCGAATCTGAGTCGAACCTGAGTCGAACCTCAGTCGAACTTGAGTCGAACCTGAGTCGAACAGATCCGTTGGGTGGGCCCCATCGAACATGCCCCACCTGATATCAATAGGAAGTGGAGTGCGCCACGAAGGCACCGCCGCTGCGACACCACCGCCGGTGGCACCACCGGGGCGCCGGCACACGGAACTGGTGGACCGCCGCTCTGCCCGTGAAGCTTCTTGCAGCTGCGCCTGGCCTTGGTGCGCCTCCTGCAGAGCAGGCAAATGCATCTTCCGGCCGGCAATACAGTCGGGGCGTTGACCTAAGGAACCCTAACTCAGGAACGAGGCCCCTTTTTTCTATAAGTTAACCTTCGATTTCCTGTCGAAAGCATAAGGAAAGCCTGAGGCAAGCTGTGAAACACTTAAGGAACGCGGAGCCCCTTCCCAACGAAAAGGGTTCCTTCTTCAAGGCCCCGACTGTAGAAGTCAAATAATCCACCCCCATAATAACCACCCCGACACTCGAAGTCATTTCGTAAACGCGCCCAATTGAAGAATCGAACAGGGCAGGGCTGCTTAGTCAACGCCCAGGGCCGTTCAGTGAACGCCAATTGTCCGGTCCGGGTGGTTTTTCCGCCCTTGAGGCAATGCTCTGGGTAATAGAACTCGACACGACTAGGAGCCCCTTGCCGTTGCAGCAGTGCCTGGGCACTCCAGCTGATCAGCCTCGGGCGAGGCACTCCCGTCCATGCAGACGCACATGCAGAAGACGACGTAGGGATAGGAGACTTGGGAGATGACGGAGCACGAGGACATGAAGGAGGAAGCGGAATACCTCTGGCTGGTTCCACATCATGCCGAAGTGACACGCCGCAGAACCCGTCAAGACCGCCGCCGATTGGACCCAGGTCGGCCAGCTAAAGCGGGGGCCATCGGAGCAGACACCTCCTCCATCGTGGTGAAGAGTAGATTGCTGGAAGAAGTCGCCGTTCCATTCGACGCCCGTGGGTCCTTGGCTGGGCGTGGGCTCCAAGCGGCAAATCTCCAAGTCCTGGTACATGATGACCCCCCGCTCGCGGTCGGCGCAGGCTTCTCCAGGGTTGGCGTGCTCGAGGCAGGCCTCCGCACGCTTGCAGGCCGTCCAGGTGGAGACCCGCCTCCGAGGCTTGTCAGCGGAGATGTGAAGCCTCGCAGTGCCACGCGTGGGCAGCGGGACGGCGAAGGCGACCCAGCTGTCGTTAAGACGAAGAGAGCCGAGGACACGAAGGACCAGACGCCCAGCAACGCCAAGCTGGTCCTTGCACTGAGCGGTGACCTGCCCGGCCACCTGGGGCCCCTTGAACTCAAACCTCTCCGCGGCAGTTCCGAACTCCACCAAATATGAGGTGAGGAGCTGCAGGACGGTGTCGCGAGGAACGATAGCCTCAACGCAGACGCGTAGGATGATGCCGTCGGGTACGCGGTCGAAGCTCGCATCCGCCAGCGAAGGAGGATGCTGCTGCGGAGCCGCCGAAGCCGAAGCATCCTCCAACTCCTTGATCTTCCGCGCGTGCTGGGCCGGGAGGTCGGAGTGGCGGCCCTGTCGCGCTGCAACGCTTCGTGCTGCACACGTAGACCATCGACCTGTCCTGTTCGGTAAGCTTGCGCAACTCGCCCCCCATGGACGCCCGTGTGCTGTGTACACGTATCATTCTGAATTCAGGGCAGGCCACACAGGCAATGCGGCGACACGTGCGCATTCATATCTGGAGTCGGCGTCGGGGTATGTGCTATTGCTTCCCATCCTGCCGCCCTCGTCCAGCTTCCGCACTCCTCTATGAGGAGGAGGGAGGAAGGAGGAAGGAAGAAGAGGACCAGAATAAACCCACGATGCATCAACGATGCTGCAACGTACCCTTCTGTTCGAAATCCCTGATCTCAAGACCCTACTCACATTCCGTCTCACTGCGGAAGCGTCCCTTCCGCAATCCCCGCTCTTCCAGAAGGAGAAAGGAGAGAGGAGGAGGAGAAGGAGGAGGAGGAGGAGGCGGAGGAGGAGGAGGAGGAGGAGGAAACTGATGATTAGGAGTATGATTACCATGCTGATGGTGATTACCATGCTGATGGTGATTATAATGGTAACACGCATGATCAAGATGATGATAATGATAAAGGATAATGGTAACTAACTATAACGTTAAGGGTGATGCTGATGCTGCTGATGATGCTGATGATGGTGGTGACGATTATGGTGGTGGTGATGATGACGATGTTGATGCTGATAGTGGTGCTGATGCTGATGCTGCCTCCCCCTCCCTGCGTCTCACGGCCGCCCAGGGAAGGCAGAGGCCGACCCAGCCAGGGTGGACGCCCTGCCTCCCCCTCCTCCTGCTCCTCCTCCTCCCTCTCCTTCTCCCCCTCCTCCTCCTGCTGCTCCTCCTCCTCCTCCTCATCCTCTTCCTCCTCCTTTTCCTCCTTCCCCTCCTCCCGCTGCTCCTCCTCCCTTTCATCTCCCTCTTCCTCCCCCTCCTCCTCCGAATTACTCCTTTTCCTCCTTCCCCTCCCCCTGCGCCTCCTCCCCGCCACCATGCAGCTCCCCGCCATCCCCTCCCTTCTCCTTCACAGGCTACTCTGCCCCCCCATCCTCGTCCACCCTCCTCCTCCCCCTCCCCCCCTCCCGCCCCACCTCCTCTCCCTCCGCGCCCCGCGCCAACCTAAAAACCCTCCACGGGCAAGTCCAGACTCCGAGCGGCGCCAGCGACACTTCCTTTGCCTCGGGCCTCCCGAGGGCGCGCGGCGCCCTCCTGGAGCCACGTGGATGAAGATGCGCGCGGTCACGGTGCGCACCCCGTAGGCGAGGAAGTCCGGCGGGCCACCCCCGGCGGGGCCTCGCCCGAGGGCGCGCAGGTCAGCGCTCTCTGGCGGCGCGGGGTCCGCTGCGGAGGGGAGGGAGCCGGAGGAGAATCGACGGCGCCGGCAGTTGTAGACTTCGGTCGGGCGTGTCGGCGTGTCCCCTACATGCGGATTGCGGGCGACGAAATTAACAATACTCAAAACATGCCCCAAAATAGTAAGCACATAAGATAACATAGAAACCCAGTCTCTGTTTTGACTATGTTTGAAGATTCCTCCTGTGAAGGGGCAGGCCCGACTTAACTGCAAACGTCTTTGGCGCTTCTGGTGCCGCTGGAAACATCGGGAGGCCTCCGGGGACCTTCGGAGGCTTCTCTCGGACCTGTCTGGACGCCTCCAGGGTGAAGTGGGGGTCTTGCCATCAGAGGCCTGTCTTCCTCTGGCCCGGGTCAGGGGCCGCGGCTCGCAGGCCGCTGGTGTGTGTTCCGCAAGGGCTTGCTCGCCTGGCCCGCCCGCTTTACCCTCTCGGTGTTCATCCAGGACTCGGCAGCCTTGTTAGACTTAACGGGGCGGGTAGAAGCACGGGATGAAAAACAAGGGGGCGCAGGAGAACAACAAAAAAGGTAGATTGGGGAAAGGGCGTTGGGGCAGAAAGGACGCTCGCCGGGTAGAGTGTTCGTTCTCCAGGCTTCGCTCTGCGGGTGAGCTGACGGAGCCCTGATGGCCCTGTGCAAAAGGGCTCGTTCCCCGGGCGAAGCCCTCCCTCGGATTTCTGCAGGCTCCCCTCTTCGATTCCACTCGAGATTCTCTGTCCCAGACGCCACACGCACACCGAACAGCACGCGCCCTTACACCGCGGACGCCCAGACAGCACACGCACTGGAGCACTGGAGCGCAGTGGAAGCCTGGACACCCAGACGGCACACGCACCCAAGCCCTGCGCACACCGCAATTCTACCCATCAATCATTGAGGACCCGAGTGCCGTGACTCTTCACAAGCGCCGCCCGGGAGGGCGTAGCACGTCGCACCTGTCTCGCTCCTGCTGCTTGAAGGCCTCTCCTGAAGTCTACCTTGGCCGTCTCGGGGCTGCCTTGGTCTGCGGCGGGGCCGCTTTTGGGGGCCCGGGGTTCGCTCCTCCCCCGTCCCCTTCCTGCCATTCCCGTCTTGGCTCGGTCTTTTGCCTGGCGCGACGGGCCTCGAGTGGCTCCGCCGCGCATTCGGAGTACTCCGGATTTCACCATATGAAAGGGGGGGGGGTCCGATTTGGGAGGGGGTCTGATTGGAGCTCCCTTGGAGGGTTCCAGTGGGGACTGGGCAGAAGGCCGCCCTTTCATGGCTGGTCTCGGGGGGGTCTGAAGACGCTTGTCCGGGAAGGCTGCGACCCCCTCCCTTTTATTACAGCGGGCGCACGGCCGCAATACACCGTCGCAAGAGACCCAACCCTGAAGATTCACAAGGTTTCTTGCCCAAGGTCTGGGTTTCTTGGCCAGGGGCTCAGAGCGGAGAAACCCAGGGAACCCTGGCCCGAGGAGCTTCTTCGCGGGTCGCGCTAGGAAAATGCGCGAATAATAATTTCGCTGTTGGCCCTCCGAATCCGCGCGAATGCAAGAAATTCAAGGTACCCTCGGCGCAGTGAGGCTTCTTCGGCGTCGGGGCTTTCTAACAATTTCGCGATTGGCCCTCCGACTCCGCGCGGATGCAAGAAATTCAAGGTACCTTCGGCGAAGCGGGAATTCTTCGGTGGCGGGGCACTCTAGCAATTGCGCTGTTGGCCCTCCGACTCCGCGCGGACACAAGATATTCAAAGTACCTTCGGTGCAGCGGGGTTCTTCGGTGGCGGAGCACTCTGGCAATTTCGTTGTTGGCCGTCCGACTCCGCGCGGTTGCAAGAAATTCAAGATACCTTCGGTCCAGCGGGGATTCTTTGTGGCGGGGCGTTCTAGCAATTTCGCTGTTGCCCCCCCCCCCGCCCGACTCCGCGGAGAGGCAAGTAAGTCAAGGTACCATCGGCGCAGTAGGGTTTCTTTGGTGGCGGGGCATTCAAACAATTTCGCTGTTGGCCCTCCGAATCCGCGCGGATGCAAGATATTCAAGGTACCTTCGGCGCAGCGGGGTCTCTTCGGTGGCGGGCCTCTTTAGCAATTTCGCTGTTGGCCCTCCGATTCCGCGCGGCCGCAAGAAATTCAAGGTCCCTTCGGCGCAGCGTGGTTTCTTCGGTGGTGGGGCATTCTAGCAATTTCGCTGCTGGCTCTCCGAATCCGCGCGGATGCAAGAACTTCAACGTACCCTCGGCGCAGTGAGGCTTCTTCGGCGTCGGGGCTTTCTAACCATTTCGCGATTGGCCCTCCGACTCCGCGCGGACGCAAGAAATTCAAGGTCCCTTCGGCGCAGCGAGGTTTCTTCGGTGGCGGGTCGTTGTGTCCGCGAGGTGGAATCGGGAGGAAACCCAGGGTTTCCTGAACGCGAGCGTTTCTTGACGCCCGCGGGAAACCATCGCGGGCCGCGCGGAGCGAAGAAACCCAAGATGCCCTGACGAAAAACATCCGGTTTCTTTATACGCGCCCCCACTGTACGAAACTTGGAATACGGTTCGTCGCGCCATTTTCCTGGCGCCCTCAGAACGACCGTTATCGCGACAACAGTGACCATGCCACCGTTGCGTGCGTTCCCCACTTTGATGAAACGGTCATCAACTGCAACTTTCTGTGCATGATAATGCCAGCCCCCCCAACATATTCTAGCATGGTTGGTGATGACCGTGATTTTGATGATGCTGGCTAGGGGTAAAAAATTGTCCACCTTGGTTGACAGACGCCAGGGCCCAGTCCGAACAGGGATGGCTCTGCAGCGCGCGTGCTCCAAGCTCGGGTGCTTCTGATAACTGCCCAGATGTCCGCCCCCACCTGAGGCCCTGCCTGCAGTCAGGAACTTTTGCTTTGCGTGCCACGGCGGCGCCCTCGACTACGGGCCATGCCCTGCAGCCATGCAAGCGGACAGCGTACATCTCGCTCCGCTCCACGATGCGGGACGCTGAGCAAGGCTCGGAGCGCTGAGGCCTGGAGTCCGGGACGCCATGGGCCCGCCCGCGGCACGACGCGCGGAGCCCAAGCTCCTGACCGCAACATCAGTGCCCGCGACGGCAGCCAGTGCCCGCTGCGTCTTACCCTCTCTCCTCTGGGCCCCGCCTCCTCTGGACGCATCCGAGCTCCGTGCTCCCACGCCCAATCCCCGGTGCGCTGCTGCGCGTGTCGCGTGCGAGGGACGGAGGCAGCGCGCGCCTGCAGAACCCCGTGGCCGCAGCCCGCGGCCGCAGCGGAGCACCCGCCTCCACGGGCCGCGCGCGGCCCTGCGCCGGGCCCCGGGAAGCGACTCGAGCTGCGTGTGACACGAGGCAGCCTGAGACCGGCTTCCGGGAGGCCCTCTGAGAGGAGATTGAGGAGCTGCCGCGGGGCTTCTGAAAAGCTTCCAGGAGGCCTCCAAGAACGCCCGAGAGTCCTCGCCTTCCCTCGCTACCTCCTCCGCCATCGGAGCTTCCCGTGGAGGACTCATTCGTTCCCAGCAGGTGCAACGCGCCCCATCGTCAGAAGGAATCGCGCAGCAACTTGTCGTGTGCGCTGTTGTGTTTCCTGCGCGCGCTCGTGCTCGTCTTCCTCTCGGTCACCAGCGCCATCGCCACACATAGGATGGCAATAAGAGCGCTCAGGATCCTCTGCATCGCCTGATGGGATTCGCACTGGATTCCAGGGAGGACGACACACCATGTTGGCTTCGTAGTCAGCGTTACCGGAGAACGAGCCTCTTGCACCGTGGCCTTGAATCTGCGCCCG